GTCGCTTTCTGGAGTCATCCTCTCCTGTTTTTTTAATATGTTTTGCTATCTTCTGCTGTCTCCAGGACATTCAAGAATTATTTTCTTCATTTATTGATTGTAGATTTGATTATTTTGTCCTGCTTTTTGTTTTATTTGGTTATGTCTGGGCAGACGTGCTGGGCATTTTGTTGCTTGTTCACCTGTGGGCACAATACTTCTCAGCATCTTGTCCAGGTGAGCAGGGCCAGTCACTCAGCTATGGTGCAGCACTGTGGGTCCAGCAGGGGTGGAGGGGCCAGAATAGGTAGCTTATGGCACAAACTGAGGCTGGCAGGGCGGGGCTGGGGGCACTGCAGGGCGGGGTCCGGAAACTGCATCGGTACCACTCAGGGGCCCTGCACTTGGCGCACTGAGCAGATAGGCAGGAAGGAAAGGAGGGGATGTGATCTGTGAAGCTAGGTGGGTGGGTGCAAGAAGAGAAAGAAGAGAGAAACAAAAACATAAAAGGCCAAAAAATGAAGGGAAAAAAAACAGAAAAAAAAGTAAATAAAATGGAGGAAGGGTGGGGGCGGGGCAGACCCAGTAAGGCTGTTTTCCAGTGGCTCTCTAGCTGAGCTGTGTGGCTTGGCCTGTCAAGAAGGGGCATAGGTGGTACACGGGGCTAGGTGTGCAGGATAAAGGAAAGGAAAGAAGGGAAAGAAACCAACCAACAAACAAATGAATAGATAAAAATAATTTTAAAAAAACAACACAAAAAAAGAAAAAATACATATATAGTGGTGAGGGAACCGGGTGTTGAGGGTGGCACAGAATTGTGGCGGCAGCGAGCTGATGTCTGTCTTGTCAGGTAGCATAGCACGGCCCATCAGGAAGGGGCAGAGGCAGCATAGGGCCTAGGTGGGAGGGAGAAGGAAAAAGGAGAAATGAAAACATAAAGAAATATTAAAAATATGGCTCTGAGGGAGCTGGCTTGTGGGGATGGCACAGAACTGGGGAGGCCATGTGCCAGATGCTCTCCAGCCGAGCAGTACAGTACAGCCCGCCAAGAAGGGGGGGCAGCACACAGGGCTAGGTGGGTGGGAGAAAGGAAAGGAAGGAAGGGAGAGAGAAGAAACAATAACAACAAAAAAGAATGAAAACAAAATCAAACAAACAAAAAATAAATAAAATGGCGCTGAGAGAGCCAGTCGGAAACGGCAGTGCAGACCCAGGGAGGCCGTGTGCAGTGATTCTCCAGCCAAGCAGTGCAGCACGGCCCCTCGGGAAATGGCAAGGGCGGTGCATAGGGCTGGGTGGGAGGGAGAAAGGAAAGGAACAAAAGGAGAGAGAGAAGAAACAGAAAAAGAAAAAACAAAGCAAACAAAACAAAAAATCACAGCCCATCAGGAAGGGTGGGGAATGGCACAGGGGGCTATCTGGGCAGGAGAAAGGAAAGGAAGGAAGGGAGAGAGTGAAGCAACAAAAAAAATAAACAAACAAACCAAAAAATGACACTGAAGGGGCCAGCCGGCGGTGGCTGGGCAGACCTGTGCGGCAGTGAGCTGGTGTCTCCAGCCAAGCGACCAAGCGACCGTGGCCTGTCGGAAAGTGGCAGAGGCTGCGTAGAGGGAAGAAGGGTGGGGGGTGGGAAAGCATGTATCCCTGGTTACCGGGCGCTCTGTCACCTGTTGGGGGCTCCGTGAAGTTGCCTTCCCGTACTTCCTGTCTGTGTTCCTTGGTGGCTATAGTCCAAGTTGCGAATCCATACTGTGTTGGCTGGTAGGGGACCTCCACTCGGTAGCTCTCCTCGTTCTCTGTTCTCTGTCAGTTTCTTATTCCATTTGGTACTTGATCGAGTTCTTTATTCCTTCATTTGATGCTTAGGATTTCAGGATTGACGTTTGTATCTGTTTTACTTAGTTTTTTGGGTCTTTGCTGCAGAGGGACAGCATGGTGCTTCTGTCTATAACACCATTTTGGCTCCACCTCTGTCTCAGTCTTTTTCTTTATGGTTAACATGTTTGGCATCCTTTTTAGAACTATTTCCCTAATCCAAGGTCATGAAGATATTTGCCTATATTATCTTTTAAAGGCTTTATTGTTTTGCCTTTTTCATTTAGTTGTATAATACATCTGGAATTTTTTTTGTGTGTATCTGTCAAAGAGAAACTGATAGCAGATATCTTGCTTTGATTTTGGGATTTTCTTACCCATGAAACCAAATATTCACTTTAAAGAAATTCCTGACCAAAATTAATCCACCAGTGGCTTTTCTTCACCCAAAGTTGCAAATCCTTTCTTTCCTGTTTGAAGCCAGGCTTACTAAATTTGAATTTCAAAAGATATGGCTAGGTGGAGGGCCGAAGACCATCTTGTGACCTGATATCAGTGATCTCAGTAAAAGGGGGAGGGCAGGGTTCAATCAATCATGTGAAGATTAGCCAACAGTTGATCTTCTATATTTATCCCTCCTCTTCTCTTTATAAGCCTCGTTGTACCTAGCTTCTTCTAGCCATTTGCTTTTTCTGGAATCAAAATGGTCTCCCTATATGCATATAGAATAACTGCTCAGAGTAAACCTTATGTTCAAATTTCATTGAGTTTTGATTATTTTGAACACATGTGATGTGAGGTAAGGTCAAATTGGTATATATACAGTAAGTGCCCGGGTTAAGAATGTTTGACTTACGAACAACTCATACTTGCCTTTAATGTTATGTGAAGTTGCCCTCACTTTGAAATGATTGAACCAACCACTACTCGCAACAAATTCTTCATCGCAATCATCTTCATTTGCTGCACGTGCAGCTTTTAAATCATTGAAAAAGCTTCGAGCCTTTTCTTGCACTAAAGTAAGGCTAAACAAGAACTGTATGCACCTGTTCCGAATTACCTACAAATTCTTAGACACTCTTAGGAACAGATCTTGTTCATAACCCAGGGACTGCCTGTATATATATATATACCAATTGTGCGTGTGCGTTTGTGTATACACACATACACAATTGCTCCAGCACTATTTATTGAAAATATTTTTTCCTTAATATCTGCATGGACACGTACATGTGTGGGTCTGGTGGGTCTGTTTCTGTACTCTCTATTCTGTTCTCATGGTTTATTTTCATTTTTCTATCCTAGTACCAACACCAAAAACCAAAAAACCAAACCCGTTGCCGTCGAGTCAATTCTGACTCATAGCGACTCTTATAGGACAAAATAGAACTGCCCCATAGGGCTTCCAAGGAGCGGCTGGTGGATTCAAACTGCTGACCTTTTGGCTAGCAGCCAAGCTCTTAACCAGGGCTCCCAGCACCAACATCACAATGTCTTAAATTTCTGTTGCTTTGTAAGTCTTGAGGTCTGGTAAAGCATGTCCTCCTACCTCACTTTTATTGTTCAAGAGTGTCTTGGCTATTCTTTCCATGTAAATTTTAGAATTGGTTTGTCAGATTCCATGAAATTCTGTTGTGATTTCAATTGGGTTGACATTGAATTTATTAATTTCTGTTTTTTATTCTTTCTCTCTTGGGGTTTACTAAGTTATTATTTTATAATGTTTTGATTTAGATGCTTAATGCATGAAATTTTAGACTTTATTCTTTTCTAATGTGAGCAATGAAGACTCCAATTTCCACTCTAATTACCATTTCATTACCCTACAAATTCTTACATGTACTAATTTCATTACTGTTTAGTTCTAGATACATTCCGTTATTATACTATCTCCTTTGACTGTCAGTTATTTTTAATTTTTTTTATTTTAAAATTATGGTTCTTGAAAAATTTCCTTTTATTATTGATTTCTGACTTAATTGCATTGTGTTTAGAGATATTGTTATGATGAGCCCTCTCTGAGCTGACTCATCTGTTCACCAGCTCTATACTGGGGATTCCTAAGTCTTATCTCTATCCTAGCCCAACAATCTATTGTAAAAATCCCTATATGTTTTGTCACCTCAATTTCAACATGGACAAAATGTAATTTATTATGTTTCATCTTTTTCCCTACTCCCTTTATACTCTACTAGTCCTCTCAGTATATAGCACCACAGTGTGCATGGTTGTGTAAAACTGATAACTGAGAATTGCTCTTGAATTCTTTTTTTACCCCCACAATCTGTATCAATTCTGCCTCCTTAATACTTTCTTCTACAACCTCACAAACTGTATCAATTCTGCCTCATCAACACTTTCTTCTACATCCCCATTACTACTACTACCTTAGGTCAGGTTTTCTTATTCTCTCACATAAACTATGTGACTGGTCTTCCAGTCTCACCCATTTCAAACATTCCCCATAATGCTTCTTGAATACTGTTTTAAAGACATACAATTATAAGCATGTCTTTTACTGTACTTCAGTGGCAATCCATTCTGCATGGAAAAAAATACTTGTTCCTTGTTCTGACCCCAGTATATCACTACTGAATTTTTCTCATAACCACCTTCTCAATACACTATAGACTCCTCTCCTTTATATAGAACTATCTGAAATTCCCTGAATTCACCATGTATTTTTTCTATTTTCCTTCCTCCACATTTTTGCTCATGCTGTTCCATTCTAGATAACTCTTCCCCCACCATTTCTATCTAGCCTTACCTTACACCCTCCATACTTTTCTTCCAAATGTTTTTTAGCCTCCTTTGTGTCTTCCAAAGTTATTTTATATTTTATTCAACTCTGCATTGCCATTGCCTAGCAGTGTTGTTGTTAGTTGCCACTGAGTCAGTTCTGACTCTGGCGACCCCATGTGTGCAAAGTAGAACTGTGATCCAGATGGTCTCCAAGGCTATGACCTTTTGAAAGCTGATCGCTAGGCCTGTCTTTCAAGGCACCTCTGGGTGGGTTTGAACCATGAAACTTTCAGCTAGTAGTCAAGTGCTTAATCATTTGCACCACACAGGGCCTCCCCTCTAGCACAATATCTAGCACATAATCAATCAGTAAATGTATTGTATCTGGTTCTTAAGTTAATTAGAGGACTTAAAGAGAGCGTATTTTACTCCTCATTTTAAAAAAAGTAACTTAGTGAATAAATTAATGAACGTCAAGATCTTTTAATAAGTTTTTTTTGTCTCACAAAATATAATACAAAATTAGATGTTTAGTGAAAATTCTACATGTTGCATATGGTAAAAATCATTTAAAAAAACCCAACTTCCTATTTATCTTCTTCCCATCCCCAGTGCTGACCATGTCACGTTGAACAGGATTGCGTTGTTACAGGTATCAGTGTCATTCGAAGATGTCACTGTGGACTTCAGCAGGGAGGAGTGGCATCACTTGGACTCTGCTCAGAGACGTCTGTACCGGGATGTGATGCTGGAGAACTACAGCCACCTACTCTCAGTGGGTAAGTACAGCCATCCTATGAATCTTCGAGGTGCTTCAGTGAGGGTTTTTCCATTCTCAGTTGCTGAGTGCTGCAGGACATCTGAAGTGTGTGATGGTGTTGTCCTTGATTTGTCTGAGATCCTTCAGAACATTTTACACATTATTATTTATTACTTTATTATTATTATTACTACTCTATTTTGATTGTTGTTGTTAGCTGCCATCAAGTCAGACCCCGACTCAGGGTGACCCCATGCACAGAGGAACGAAATGCTGCCCAGTCTTGCACCATCCCCGTGATCAGTTGTGGATCCAACCATTGTGATCCATAGGGTTTTCATGGGCTGATTTTCGGAAGTAGATCACTAGGTCTTTCTTCCTAGTCCATCTTAATTTGGACGCTCCACTGAAACCTGTTCAGCAACATAGCAACACGCAAGCCTCCACTGATAGACAGGTGGTGGCTGCTCATGAGGTGCATTGGCTGGGAATTGAACCTGGATCTCCTGCATGGAAGGCGAGAATTCTACCACTGAACCACCACTGCCCCCTGTCTATTATTATATTATTGTTATAAATGTTGTTACTCTTCTAAAAAGCAAATAGAGAGTGTCATTGAAAGGCCCTTGAAACCTAATTAGTTGGGCACAATCCTGTTATTACGTCCTGTTAACAGGATACCAAGTTCCCAAACCTGAGGTTATCTTCAAGTTGGAGCAAGGGGAGGAGCCATGGATGCTGGAGGGGGAACCTGCACATCAGAGCCGTTCGGGTGAGTACCCAGGCAGGTGGGAAACATGGAAGTAAATCTCACTTTTTCTAGAAGAGGCTGATGCCTTTTAAATGCTGTGAAGATAACCCATCATAAAGATTCTAAACTTTTGGAGTTGCTTGGAGATAGTTGACATTAGCTCTTCAGATTCCTAAATGCCACCTCCGTGTATGACCCTTGCTGTCTTAGTTTCCTAGTACTGCTCTAATAGAAATACCACAAGTAGGTGGCTTTAAAGAACAGAAATTTATTTGCACACAGTTCAGGAGGCTAGAAGTCTGAATTTAGGGTGCTGGCTATAGGAGGAGGTTCCCTCTCTGTCAGCTCTGGGGGAAGATCCTTATCAGCTTCTGTAGCCCCAGTGTTCCTCAGTTCCTTGGCAATCTCCACGTGGCATCTATCTGCCCCACTTTTGTGCTTGCTTGTCTCTGAATCTAAGCTGCTCTTTATATCACTCAGAAATGATTAGGTTTAGGACACTCCCTATACTAATATGGCCTCATTAGCATAAAAAAGAAAACCCTATTTCCAAATGGAATTACATCCACAGGTACAGGGGTTAGGATTCCAACACATATTTTTTGGGGACACAACTCAATCCACAACATTTCACCCTTTAGTCCCCCAAAATTCATGTCCTTCCTACATGCAAAAACACATTCACTCCATCACATCATCCCAAAAGTCTTCTCCATTCTGGCATTAACTCTAAGTCCAAAATCTCATCTTCTGAATCATCTAAATCAAGTACTAGTGATACTGGGTGTGTTCTGTCCTAGAGCACAATTCCTCTCCATCTGTGGACCTGTAAAAATTAGAATACCCATTACCTGTTTCCAAAGTACAATGGTAGAATAGGCACAAGGTAGACATTCCCATTCCAAATAGGCAACATTGGAGGAAAAGAAGGGGTCATGGGTACCAAGCAAGTCCATGATCCAGCAGAGCAAATTTCATTAGCTCTCAAGGCTTGAAAATAATCCTCTGTTCCCTGGGACCATCTGGGCAATGGCCCCACCCTCCAGACTCTGGACATTGGCCATGCTCTCCAGATTCTGGGTGGAAGCCTCTCTGCTCTGGGCATCAGCCCCGCCTTCCAGGCCCACTGGCATAGCAACCCAGCTCCCTTGGCTTTGGGCAGCCTCATTCTCCTGGTCCACCTGAATGGTGACCCCAGCCCCTCAGCCCTGGGCAGCCCCATTCTCCTGGCTCATGGGCATGGCAGTCCTGCCCTCTCAACTTTGGGTGGTGGCCCCACTGTCTTGGCCCACCTGAACAGCAGCCTCACCCTCTGGAACCAAGGTGGAAGAAGCTGTGGTTCCACTCTCTGAAACCTGGGAAGCTGTGGTTCTAGCCCTTGAAACAGAGGCAGCCCTCCCCTCCCCCGCCCCACCCCGTCCTTCTAACAGTTCTGCTTATCTCCAAACAGTTCCTGGGATGGTGCTTTCCTTTTCTTGGAGGACAATAAATGTTCACCCCCAAGTAGCTCCATTAGCCCATTTCCTGCCTGTCAATTCTAGGAGTCAGACAGTTTTCCTTCATTTTGTCCTGTCTCTGTCTCTTTCAACCTAAGCTGACAGGATTTATGCTGCGGTGGTTGATTAGATCCATCAGTCACAGGCCTAATCTCTTTGCAAAGGATTGTGTAGCCACGCCCTTGGTGAAAGTTCCAGGATATGTTTCCTTAGTTGTACAATAGAATTTTCCAAATCTTTAAGTTCTGGTTTAATTTTGCACAGTTCATTTTTAAGTCTATCTCTTTCTTCCTGAGATTTACTATAAGTGGCAAGGAGAAACCATGCTGCCCCTTCAAGATTTCGCTCAGAAATCCACTCAGCCAAATATCCAAGTTCATCACTTACAAGTTCTACCTTCCACAAAACATTAGAACATAATTCAGACAAGTTGTTTTCCACCTTATAGAAAGCATCACCACTCCTCCAGTGTCCAATAACCTGTTCATTATTTCCATTTAATGTCTCATTAGAAAAGCACATTTAACGTTCACATTTCTAGCAACGTTCTGTTCATGGCAATAGAAGCTTTCTCCACAGCTCTTAATTCTTTCTGAGCCCTCATCAGAATTGCCCTTAATATCCAGAATTCTATCAACAGTCTCTTCACGGCAATCTAGGCTCTTACTATCAAACACATCAGAATTCCTGTAGCCTCTACCCGTTACCCAATTCCAAAACCACTTCTACATTTTAGGTATTTGTTAGAGCAGTACCCCCACCTCTTGGTACCACATTCTGTCTTAGTTATCTAGTGCTGCTGTAACAGAAATACCACAAGTAGGTGGCTTTAAAGAACAGAAATTTATTTTCACACAGTTCAGGAGGCTAGAAGTCTGAATTCAGGGCACCAGCTATAGAGGAAATCTTGCTCCCTCTGTCGGCTCTGGAGGAAGATCCTTGTTTTAGCTTCTGTAGCCCTGTAACATATTCCTCAGTTCCTTGGCGATCTCCATTTGGTATTTATCATCCCCTTGTTTGTGCTTGCTTGTCTCTGTGTCTAAGCTGCTATTTATATCACTCAGAAGTGATTAGGTTAAGGATACACCCTACACTGATGTGGCCTCATTATTATAACAAAGAAAACCCTATTTCCAAATGGGACTACATCCACAGGAATAGGGGTTACGACTCTAACACATATTTTGGGAGGACACAATTCATATGTTTTTGGCAGAAGAGCTGTTCCTAATCTCTATCCTGGGTCATATACCACCCTATCTTATCTAGGACCTTTTTATTCTTCCTATTCCATCCCTCATCTATCCTAACCCCTTGCCTTCCTGTGATCTTCAATCCTTTCCTTATACAGTCAGTTATTTTAAAATTTCTTCCCTTTTGTTCCATTTCTCCATATCCATTCCCCATACCTCCTCCCATGGACAACTGGTCTAATGGGTTTCATCCTTGAATTTGTGTGGTATTCTCTTAAATTCTGAAGCATTGGTTTATGAGTATGTATTTCTTTTAAATTTTATTGTGGTTATATATATATATATATATATATATAAATGTTTGCCATTTTAATCTTTTTAAAGTGTGTAATTCAGTGACATTAATTACATTTACCATGTTATGCTGCTGTCACCACTATTCATTTCCAAAACTTTTACATCACCCCAAACAGAAACTCAGTACTCTTTCAGTAACAACTTCCATTCACTCTTTTCCCCAGCCCCTGGTAACAACTAATAAAGTTTTGTCTATGCATTTGCCTATTCTAGATATTTACATAAGTGGAATCATACAATATTTGCCCTTTTGTGTCTGACTTATATTACTCAGCATGATATTTTCAAGGTTCATGCATGTTGTAGCATGTATCAGAATTTAATTTCTCCATATGGCTGAATAATATTCCATTGCATGTATATATCACATTTTCTTTATCCATTCATCTGTTGATGGACACTTGGGTTGTTTCCATCTTTTGGCTATTGTGAAATAATGTTGCAGTGACCATTTGTGTACAAGTATCTGTTTGAGTCCTTAATTTCAAGTCTCTTGGGTATATGCCTACGAGTGGCATTGCTGGGCCATATGGTAATTCTATTTTTAACTTTTTGAGTACCATCAACCTGTTTTCCATAGTGGCTGCACCATTTTATTTTTCCACCAACAATGCATGTTGTTGTTGTTAGGTGCCATCAGGTCGGTTCTGACTCATAGCCACCCTGTGTACAACAGAACAAAACACTGCCCAGTCCTGGGCCATCCTCACAATCATTGCTGTGCTTGAGCTCATAGTTGCAGCCACTGTATCAATCTGTTTCATTGAGGGTCTTCCTCTCTTTTGCTGACCCTCTACTTTACCAAGCGTGATATCCTTCTACAGGGACTACTGCCTCCTGATAACATGTCCAAAATACGTGAGATGAAGTTTCGCCATCCTCGCTTCTAAGGAGCATTCTGGCTGTACTTCTTTTGAGACAGATTTGTTTGTTCCTCTGGTAGCCCATAGTATATTCAATATTCTTTGCCAACATCATAATTCAAAGGCATCAATTCTTCTTCCGTCTTCCTTATTCATAGTCCAGCCCTCACATGCATATGAGACAATTGAAAATACCATGGCTTGGGTCAAGCACACCGTAGACCTCAAAGTGACATCTTTGCTTTTTAACAATTTTCAGACTTAATGGTCTGACTGAGACTGGAGGAACCCTCGAAGCTAAGGCCCCTGGACACTCTGTTAACCCAGAACTGAAACCATTCCCGAAGCCCACTCTTCAGACAAAGATTAGACTGAATTATAAAACATAAAATAGTACTTGTGAAGAGCGTGCTTCTTAGTTCAAGCAGATACATGAGACCAAATGGGCGGCTCCTGTCTGGAGAAGGATGAGAAGGCAGGAAGGGACAAAAGCTGGTTGGATGGACACGGGAAACTCAGAATGGAAAAGGGGAGTGTGCTGTCATACTAGGGATTGCAACTAGTGTCACATAACAATATGTGTATAAATTTTTGTATGAGAAATTAACTTGAGCTGTAAACTTTCACCTAAAGCACAATAAAAAGAAAAAAAAGAAAGAAAGGTCTTTTGCAGCAGATTTGCCCAATGCAATACATCGTTTGCATTTCTTGACTTCTGCTTCCATGGGTGTTGATTGTGGATCCAAGTAAAATGAAATCCTTGACAACTTCAATATTTTCTCTTTTTATCATGATATTGCTTATTGGTCCATTGGAGAGGATTTTTGTTTTCTTTATGTTGAGGTGAAATCCATACTAAAGGCTGTAGTCTTTGATCTTTATCAGTGAGTGCTTCAAGTCCTTTTCACTTTCAGCAAGCAAGATTGTGCCATCTGCATATTGCAGGTTGTTAGTGAGTCTGCCTCTAATCCTGATGCCCCATTCTTCTTCATATAGTCCGGCTTCTCAGATTATTTGCTCAGCATACAGATTGAATAAATATGGTGAAAGGATACAACTCTGACACACAGCTTTCCTGATTTTAAACCATGCAGTATCCCCTTGTTCTGTCC